GAGGAAGCGGGGCCTCTTCCCCCCTGCTGATGAGTCACTTGCTGGGATCATCTGCCAATCTCGAGGGAGTGCGAGATGTTCTGTTCTGTTGGTGGTCCTTCACCATCTGGCTGCCTTACACCACTTTGCCCCATTTGATGATTAGTTAAGGGAACCGGACCAATCCCAAGACTATGTAGAACCAACAAAACCTACCATAAGGTCTATTGACCCAGCTCAGTAGCAGGTGTTCTAAAAGAGTGGTTTTTAGTTGATACACAACTTCTCATCTCATCATTTTCAAAACTCTCTAAAGGAAACAACAGTATTAAATTTGTAATTTTGTATTTTAATTTTGTGAAAAATGCTTTCTCACTGAAAAGAAGATAAAACTGGTGTTTTTCACGCCGTATTTTTATGAACAATTAACACAATTTGGTAGTCACTAGTTAAGATCTGTATGGATTGGTGTGACACTGTCAGTCATTGTGGATGCAAATAAGTTGATCAATCAAAATAAAAGGGGAGTTTTTTTCTCATGTCATGATTAATTAAAAATAATCTGTTTATTTGAGTTAGTGAGGGACAAAATGACTAAATACTTGCCTATCAACATTTTCTTATTAGGTGCATATACTGCACAACCTTGTGATCCGTGTGTTGATTCATGAATCAACATGTGTTGTTTTATATACGACACTCAGACAACCAGTCTGAGAGAATTTTGTAAGGCTATCACTATCAAAAAGGCTATAAAAAATAACTTTCAATCCCCAGTTCAATTAACATACAACTGCCTTTTAAAAAGATGTTACACGATTATAGGCACGAACATAACCAGGTGCTCATAGTTTTCATCCACAATTATTTCAATTGGTAACTTGAACCCAGTTAAATCTCGAATCACCTTTAAGCACCAATAAGGGGTAACTGAACTGGTAACCACATAATCTGCAGTCAAAAGCTCAACCAGTGAGCTTCACCCGCTGGAAAGGCTTTAAGTATTCACAAGGAAGACACTACTGTATATAAGTCAGAGAGTTGTGGGTTTGATCTCCGCTACTTGACTAAATTCCACTTGACAAAGACAACTTGGCCCAGCAGGCTTAAGGAAGTGGGCAGGAAATTCAGCCCATCATGTCAGCCTACATCTGCTCTGCTAGAATAGGTTTCTCAAAGCCAAACCACCTCTTCTGACTTTTCTTTTTTTTCGTTTCCTTTTTTGTGTGCTGACTCAGTTTTGATATGTATAGTGTATGGTAATGACTTCAAATGACAGTAGCCATTTTCTTTTTAAAGACATCAAAGTACAGTCAAAGAAAACTAGGTGCCAATATAAAAGCACATTTGTGTAAATTATCCATTATTAGGAAAGAAATATGCTGTATAAAGATCTTATTAAGGAGGCCTTATAAAAAAGAAAATTTCCAGTCTAATATTCAAACGGTCTCTAAACATTGTCACTGCTTCAACATAATAAGTCTGTTGGGTAGTCACCAGACAGCAATTGATTCAGACTTTAACGGTCAAATGGCTGCAAATGAAACCATCCCATGTGACGAGTACGCTTAAAGGACTTTACTCTGATCAAAGATGTGATTGTGAAACAGAGCAACTCTGACAGTCATCATATTTGCGGTTACATGTGGCAGGGAAGTGTTCTGGGATTTCCACATTGCTTGAGGGCATGCTGCATCTTTGTGGAGCTGATGAAAAACAAGAAGAGAGGGAGTTGGAGAATGATAGATTTACTTTTTGTGTGGTCAAACAAATGATTCTCTGTTCCATAATCAAGAACACTTTTTCTATGTAGTCTGAGTGTAATTTAGTTTATCTGTGTGTTGAAGCACATACAAATTCATATTTGCTCACAAATTCTTTGAGATTCTAAAGGTTATTAAAACTTGAATTAATTTGTTTATTTTCTTGAATAACCCTGTGGGATGCTTTAACACACAAGGCAAATTTTATTACTTACCATATGATTGGACTTTTCTGAAGACAGGCTATTTTATCACCGAAAACTGAACAAAATTGAAAACAAGAAACAACTACTGCACTCAAATATGTTTGCATATAGTGAATTAGTAAACTGTGTCATGTATGTTTACACTAGCTGTAGACATACCCTAACCCTAACCCACATGTGACCAGCATGAAAATGCAACTGCATGAGATCAGCACAACATTGAAAAAGGAAGGGCAGCAGTTATAAAAGACAAACAGTCCTCTAGAAAGACTAATGTAATGGGTGGAGGTATTAAGGCCTAATGTGCACGTCCACTGGGATAAAGTGCATAGAGAGAAAGATAAGCTAATACAACTCATCCTCCTTTGTACATTTACCATCCCATGTAGAGGAGCTATTGTCTCTGGTCAGTTTGGGCCATCTTTTGTTATTTCACATGCAATATAAAAAAATTTGAGGTCAGTTTCCCTAAATCTCTTGCACGTGAGACAACTGCTTGAGACAGTTTTATTATTTTCTTTTTTTTTTTATTAACAAAGGTCCTTTGTTACGTTTTTCACGGTCATGCAGTAAGAAAATAAATTTGCACCATTTTTAATATCTTATTATTCCATGTCAGAGAAGGACATCAAAGTCAGACGACTTAATCTTTTTATACTCAACAAAAAACAAAACAAAGAGACAATTCTGGCTAACCTCCCATGATCTCGGTTACAAGGTCAATCACAATCTGTCTCTACATGCTAAAAAGGGTATCTGACATTGTATTCAAATTGACATCCCATTTCTCCTTTGTTATTTTAGGTTTGACATAAGTGGCTTGAAGAACTGCTCTCCTCGAAGCTCACGGAGTGATAAAGCAGTCATTTAATGCACACACACATTTCCATGTGATTCAGTTCCACTGATAATGATAAAAATTAATGGCTCACTAGTTGAATAACATAAAAAATAAATACATTTTTCATTTAAAAATGAAAAAATTAATAAACCAAATGTATCAGTTGTATTAGCATTAAGGTAATTTTCTATTTGTTTTTTTACTGGAATTCTGCATTATTCTGTACTTCATCTTTTATTTCAAATAAATGTTTTCCTAAAGTTAAACAGTCACCATTGTATTTCTTAACTTGTTCTCCGTCCAAGTTTAAGTATATATTCATGTTCCTCTTCTAGGTTTTTATGTTTCTGTATGCTTTTTTACAAACATTTTTAAATGTTTTTACCCTTTTCTGTGCATTTAACAGTGGCTCAAAGAACAACTCTGAAGGACAATAATTTCTGAAAATCAATTAATCTACTTATTAATCGGAATAAACTATTTCAAACAGATAACTACCATGCTATTCTCATTGCTTGTTCATTTAAAAAAATCATTTTAAAATTAAAATTAAAATTAATAATCCGCAAAAGTAATAATCAGTAATAATTAAAAGTAAGTATCAGAAGTTCTTCAATAATCCCAGATGGAAACTATTTACATATATATCAATTCAACATGCATTTATGGTTGCTTTTGTGTACTTTGACATTGAAAATAAGAAAAAATACATAATTTAGAATGAAAATATCAGATTTATCTTTCAGATGTGAGTGACTTTTCCATTTCTATCATGCAAAAGTTCAAAAGTATCAAGCATTTTTTATACCACTTATTCCAGATGGGGTCACAGTGTGGCTTGGGCCTTTCCCAAATGACAACAAGCGGTGTACAACCTGCCCCTCACCGGCCCATTGGAGGGCCACACATGGTCTTAGGGGCAATTTGGAATTTCCAACTAACCTACCATGCATGTTTTTGGACAATGGGAGGAAGGGTACACGAGCCAAGAACACTTTTGCTGTGAGGCAACTGTGCTAACCACCACACACACCAAACACCACCCTGCCTCAGAAAAATCAGTTACCTAAAATTAAAAAAGACTTGTGATAAATGTCTGAAATGAATTACCAAATTCCTCAAAAATGCTGTCAGCCAAGAAATCCCAAATCACTTCAGTAGTAAACTACTTCAGCTTCTTTAAAAATAAATCTGCATTAGGGAATCCTACAGAGAGATTACTATTCATTTTACAAGCTAAGACAAAAACAATAAAAAAAACAGATCAATATATATTAGCGTAATTCACTTTGACTTGGGTTAACAATCACACACTACCACTGCTACTGTATTCTTTCTATTCTAAAGTTTCTGACTGCCTCACATGAAATGTGAGACAGTGAGGAGGTGAAATAGAGAAAGACAATGAAAGATAAGGGAGGTGAAAAAGATTTGTATCAGTTCCAGCCATCAGATGTATCCACCTTAAATCCGAAACTAGACCTGCTGGTTTGTCGAAAATAGGCAATCACACTTTTAGAAGTCACTCAAAGCCACAGAGGATAACCAAGAGCATAGCATTTCATTTCTTAAGTCTTCTTTCAAGCTGTAGAAAATGTAAGTGAAAAATCATAATTGATACTAGCTCATTTTTCTCATAATTACAATAAAAAAGACTTAATCTTAAAACTAATCAGATTTGTATTTAAGTTGATGAGGAATCCTCTTATTAGACTGGATCTATCCACTATTTGCCCTTAAACTGTGAGCTGCCAGTGTGTCATTGTGCATCACTCCTTCTGCAGTGACTTTTATATGGCCTTGGCTGGTGGCAGGGAGCCTCCTCTGTGGCAGTCCACTAAGCCAAATTGATTAGATGAAAGGCCTTTCCCTTTTAAGGTGTCAACCCCTAGATCCACAGCCAATCTCTCTAATGGTGTCCCAGCAACCCTTACCTTACCACAGAGCTTCAAGGACCAAAGCCAAAGAATCAAGTCATTTAATACTGGAGAAGGTCAGTGGATACAATTTCCCATTAAATTGTAAGCTGACATTAGCTGCTGCAAGAAATTTGTGAAGGAGTTGGTGTTAATGCAAAAATTTAAGTTTTCTGTTGACAATTTAATTAAATGTATACACAAATATTACCAACAAGATGCTAATCATTAAAGTATCAACATAATCACTGTGATCTTCTGATTTTCTGAGCAGGCTAAAATCACTGCCAATCACCGTGAGAAGAACTTGAACATCTTCACTTTGAGACAGTTTGTTCTGAAAATTGCTACCCACCCTAAAAGAAAAAGTTAGAAAAAGACTCATCTGACACATCTAAAGTTTTGAGACAAACAGTATATAGAGATTGAGAAATTATACAAAAAAAGTATGACGTAGTGGTAGAGGCAACTCTAGCAGTGATATCATTACAGCAGAATTACATCTACTATTATAATTTACATCCAATTTCCTATCCAATTATTGGCAGTTTGGCCTCTATTATAATGGAATCTACAATAGGCTCCTGAGACATTGGTAAGTTAAGGGGTTGCGAAGACGAAAAGCAAAGAAGAGCTAGAGTTTGGGACTTTGGGACTCGTAAGAGGGGGAAAACAATCAATATTGATCTTAAAAACGAAGGTTTTAAATAGCCATAACTCTGCCTGACAGCACGGCTGTCAAAGGCACCAGTGCAATATGCAATATTACTCCCACTAATTTGCTCCTCTTCATCTCTAGGGGAACACTGCCTGCCAATCTTTTTTCAACTGCCTGACCATCTATATTTAGGATGTCAGTCAATCAGTAAAGCAAAACATTGTTGTGGTGCTTTTGAGAATAAAAAACATAGGAACATGAACTCCAGGAGGAAATAATATAATTTATAATATTATATTTATTATATAATACAAACTAATAGATTTTCCCTTTTATACCTACATTTTCTAAGTGATTGTGTCTAGACAACTGTTAAATAAACATGGAATGTGTGGGAAGCATTAGTATTTTCTGAATATTGCAGTCAGTTTAATTACACAGGCAGCACAAAATATGAAAAGTGTGTTTTTGTTGATGTATGAAGCATTTGAAATGGTAGTGCATGCACGGTGCATTACATGCTTTCAACACTATAATTGGACAACTTAAAAGTTCAAAAGCACGAGCCAAGTATCTAACAAAATGTGGGCCTTGTTTTTTTTTTTTTTTAAGTTTTATAAATATATTAAAAAAAACTGATCTAAACAGAGTATACTCACTCGAGAGTAGAGCAGTTGCTGTGACCTCAATCTCACTGTTGGCTTGGTAGGGCTGGAAGGCCGAAGTTGAACTCATCTCACTGACAAAGAGGTCAGGACTCTGGGTTCCTGTGGAGCTGGCGCTGGTTCCGTCGCCTCCATTGTGCGGATCTTGCTCTTCGTATACAGCGACCAGCTGAAGAAGATGGAAACGCAGGTTAGATGTTTCACTATTGCACAGTTAGATTGTAGACATCTGTTAATAATTTCAAATTCAAGTAATCAGTTGTTCAGAGATAAGAATGAAATATCAGCTTTCAGATTATATCACATTGTCATTATTTGGTAAACATATGGAACCATTTATCATTTCTTTATATACTGCCAGGAAAAAACTTATAAATTATAAATTATGTGTTTTGAATTAGAAGGCTTGTGACAAAGTACCTGTAGATACCATCAGAAATGGGTTCCTTGCTAAGCTATTAGTTATGTGAATATATAACACCAGTTTTTTTACCCCTCTTGCACAATTTATAGGTCAATTCTACGCAGATCGACAGGCAGAGAAAAAATGCACGTGTGTGTGTGTGAATAGGTAATTGTGGCTTGTATTAAAAAATCACTTGGGAATGTCACCAGAAAAGAGCTTTATAAACACTTTTTACTGTAAAAAAATAGTTGTGTACTGTGGTGTGCATTGGGTTGCTACGTTTCGCTTCCATAATAAATATAAGCTCTATTCCATCTAAGGGGACTTGTTTCTATATTTCCCATTATAGTCAAGAACTCCTCATAGCATCCCAAAATCACTTGTGTCTAACACACCACTCATTTTCTATATCTCACTTGCTCACACGATACTTTGAAGGGTATCACTTCCCACCTGTTTTTGGTGGTAAATTGATACAGATACCAATTTCATTTATTGTTTTGTTTTTTTTTATTATTCAGCACATCCATTTTTGCAGCAACAGCTAAATCAAAAAACAAAGTCCCAATGGAACGATTGACTGGCAATCTGACAATCTGATAATTGTTATAAGAGCATTTCAATATGAAGAAAACTTCTGTATGTTTTTTAGGTTCAAATATGACAGAGAATCTTTTCTTATTCTATATGCTGGTTAATTTATAATCAATATGTCAGTAATCCTGGGATTAAACGTCATATATATAAAAATCTACTGTTCAACTGAACTGCTGATGAACTGCTTATCATAATGAAGAAGTAAGGATGTAAAAAAAAAGCTCTAAGGCAGCAGAGGATATACGTTGTCAGCTGAAACACAGAAGTCGTCACTGTCAGACATTTGAAAAAAAAAGGAATGGATGCATTCTGGAGATCTATTACGAGGAGTGACACTAACAGGTGGTTTAAGTGGAGATTGATGTATTTGAAGCAGTAACTGGTGACATTATCAGAATCATAAACCAAAGATTAACAAGTGCTGATGGAGGATTTGATGCAGAACTAAGAACAAGGTCTTTGTGAGCTGATGGACTGTGGCTGTGCAGCAAAGAGACGAAAGAAGAGCCAAAAAAACCATCACATCATCCAATCACAGTTAATGATATCTGAGTTAATGCTTTGGTTAAGGCTCCTGGACTGAGACACAAAAAGACAGAGGTGAAAGCAAGAAAGAGGCCAGGAACACTGTTATAGCAAAGTGGCTGAAGCAGTGCCAAGTAGATTTCATTTCCAGCAGAATCTGTTACTAGACCTTTCACGAGTAGATTAACCTCTAATTCCATCTAGACATGGCAACCACACAGAAGTTTCATAATCCTAAAAATGCAAGACAGAACATTAGTATGTCCATCAGGGACTTAAGAGGAGTTATTTTTCATTACTTTGCGCTACTTGAAAATGTATGCAGCTATGTCTCTTGACTGAAAAACCCACAAAGTAAGCATTAGTCACAGTTGGGAGCAAACAGCTTTCATGCTTACCACATTATAGTGATGTGAAGTTTAAAAATAACTTTTATGTTTTTCCATATTTTTCTATCATTTCAAAATGGGAAAATCTGCATATTATGATGTTTAGAAACACCAGCTTTCCTTTTTATTTAAGAGCGCGCAACTTAAGTATTTATGTGTTTGCTCATTTACACCTGAATCTAAGTCCGTCTGTGAGCACATGGGTGTACCCACAGAACAGCAATAATGCACAGCAACATCTCTGGTGGTTTTGCATATTTTGAACAGACTGCTTCTTCCAATTGTATCCCATTTCCCATTCTCAGATACTCTCAGTCACTGAAATCTACTCTCATTCACTTCTAATCACGCTCCCTTTCTGTCGAGAAATTACATTTTTTTTATATTAAGGGTTATCACGGTCCTGTTCAGCAGGCAATCAGATGGGAAGGAGATCAGCCTATACAATATACAAATGTAAACTGAGGAGAAAATATCTTGTAAGTTTGCCAAATTTTAAATGGACAAATCGTCATGTGAAGACATCAAAGAAATATACACCGTTTAAAAAATAATAGGACACAATGAGTGTCTTTAGTCTGGATTTAATGGATCCATCTGGATCACCTTAATTTTTCTCCTATGTGCATTGTTCATTTTCCCCTCAGGTGAGTGAGACTGTGTGTGAAATGGGGTTGTGTGCATGGCTTATCTCTACTCCAGGTGACTCCCCAGGCACAATTGTACCCCATCAGTTCCTCAAACCTTGCTGCACACCAACTCCTGTCTTCATACTCTACAGCAGTACAATTGACCATTTATCCCTGACCAAGTTGGAAACCTTGGTCATCATAGTCTAACCTCTTCTCCATGTCCTGTGGGTAGCCAACAGTTGTATTTGCTTGACGCTATCCAGTGCTGGGCCTTTGTATTAGATTTTATAAAAGAATTGACAGAATATTCAAAGAATTGCTTTGTGTTTCAATGCAAATACTAGTAAGAATTTGTTGGGTTTTTGCGCAATGGAAATAAGTCTATATTTTTTTCTTGTTACCAGCATAGACATGTGAAGTTCCAGAGGCTCATGGAATCTCAGGCATTGAACCAAAGTATTCTGGCACCACATTCATGTGTTGCTGAGAGCAACCCGCAGATCTTCAAACACTCTGGCTGCCAGTCAGTCATTTAGAGAAGTGGTAAATAAAGTTTTTGGTATCACACCAAAGTGTTTTTTTTTTTCCAGTTCATTCCAAATCCCCTCAATTTGGTTGACTTTTCCATGGCTTGTAATCTTCAGAGAACTACGTGTGTACCAGATTTGCACAGCTCAAGCCATGCACACATTACCATTTCATAATCAAGAGAGTCCGTATTCATCCTGGATTAAATATTAATAGCGTCTAGAAAGTGCTTGTTCACCCCACTACAGCAGAAAAGGCATTAAAAGTTCAGTGTTTTAAAAAAGACTTGTTTTTTTTTTTTGATGGGGGTAACAAAAAAAATAAACAGCAACTACTGTTAGTCATTTAGAAATCACAGAAAATGTAATTATAACCTAATGAGCTGATTTATAGTTTCCAGGCAGTACACAAACGTTTTTTTTTTTTTTTTTTACTTCTTCTGTTTTTGATCTGTTTACCAATTTATCCCCAATTAAAGTTTTCAAGAAAAGAGTGTGATTGAGTTTAATTTCAAACAGCTTCAAAAACTATTTGAACTCAAATCAGAAAAGCAGATGCAGCTGGCACTGTTAAAATGTTGTTTTAGCTGTGCCAGCTGTAAAATTCATGAGTACCATTTAGCATTTGGATTTGCCACTTGGAGTTAACCCTATAATGCCATATGTATAGTGGATACATACAGTTTCTGAAATTGTTTGCATTTAAGACCTTTTGCATTGTCTAACTGTAAAAACGTTGCTCAAACCCCTGTTCTGGACAATCATATATACCTGGTAACAGCAGGCAGAAGACAATTCGACAATAATTTTGACTTATCGCATGGTAATAAATGATGACTATCAAAAAATTATTTCTTGATAGTAAAATAAAAACTTCAAACAAGAAAATTAATTTTCTTTATTTTTTCATGGATTAGGCATTAAATGGTTAAATGAGATCTCACAGACACGTAATGTTGTTTAAAACAGTATTAAGACTCTAGACAAGTAATGTGAAAACATTGGATTGCAAGTAAAACAAGTCAAAGCCACGTGATCTACAGATAAAATGTATCCCTAAACTATGTCAAGAGAAGTTTGAATTGACAGAATGGCGTGGCTCAAAGGTCGATCTCTAGTGGGAAACTTGAGCAGTTTGGAGGCAATTTCTTGAAGAGCTGGTTCTGAAATGTCTCTTGAAAGAAATAGTTAGGAAATAGTTAAGAAAATCCCCACCCTGGCCTCTGTCTGTGTTACGGAGATGAAGAAAAACAGGCCAGAAGAAAAACTGATTAAACATTTGCTGTTGCTGGACAGAGGTCAACTGTCAGCATGTTGAAAGACATCACGGCATGCTTTCCCTCATTTTGGTAATTAGTCACAGCCACTTTACAACTGATACAATTCAGTTTTATTTGTTTGTCACATTCTCACTCTCTCCCCTGTAAACTGCAACGGAAATAAGCTGGAAGTTTTTCAGAAGTAGAACAAAGTTCTTCAGTGATGCCAGGACACTAACAGCATGGTTAATTGAAAAGCGTAGAGGCATCTGAGGCTCAGCATTTGAAACTGATAGAAGTGAGGGATTCAGGCACGGACAGCTTAAAAAGATGGTGCTGCCCACGATAAACTGCTCAAACGGACACCAAAGTTGGGATGAGTAAGAAGGGGGAAGGAGACCACATTACAGAGCCGGAGTTGGGGGACATTTTCCGGTTTCCAGTCTGAGGATAAACTTCAGAGCTATTTCAAAAAACCTATTTAGCTCCTACCTGCTTCAGTTGAGAGAAGCGCGGAGAAGAGAAGAACTGGCTGACTCTTATTTCATGGACCTGTCTCTCTCGCTCTGTCCCTTTCTTTCTCTCTCCTGAAGTGAGCTACAACATTACTGCTGCCTTAAGCCCCCAGAGCGAGGCTGACACTCATCCACTTTCAGTCTGTTCCACTGACTGTCACAGCACCTGCCAATCAACCACTATCTACCTAGAGGCCCGAAGGCTGCTAGAGAGAGGCAAGACTAAGGGGTGGTGAGAGACAATGATGAAGAGGGGTGAAGAAGTAAAGGATTCAAGAGAAAGCTAAAGAAAAAGACAGTCAACTGAGGTAAGGCATTC